CATGGGTATGTGGGGTAGGGGAATCAGGTCATACACATTCCCTGTCCAAGATAGATAGAGAGAGGATGAGGGGAAGCACCTTTGCTGTCCTCACTTAATTGTGGGCAAAGGTGGGTCCTTTTACCCAGTGACCAGAGAAGACCATGCTCAAAGCCTGAATGCTCTGTAATTCCCTACATAACTGCTTAACGCTTTGTGAATGGACAGGCCATTCTTTGCATTGGGACTGTGAATTAAGAGTCTTGAACTTGCTGTATATCTCAGGCTGTACAGTGCTACTGTATTGATAGTTGTGCCAAACCAGTACTCAACACAAGGAGGCGATTTTAAAAAAGGCACAGGCTTGTATAATGAGTGTTTAAGAACACACCAGAGGCTCTTGATGCTACAAAAAGAGTCTCAGGAACCTATCCCAGGAACCTGAAGTGGAGCCTCTGTATTCAAATATGCTCTGCTGTGTTCCTTCTTGCTCTTAAAGTAAGCATGCCATGCTTTCCTTAATTATGACAACACCAGTAAAAGGGATGCACTTCTAAGACCCAGTAATTTGTCTTCTAACTCAAAATAGAGGAATGACAGTTCTCAGAGGCTGGCAACTCTTGTCTGAGAGACCATTCAAAGAAAAGGCTCCTGCAGCCTTTCCCTGGCAGAACAGGATTCTAGTCTATTTTAAGATGCAGACCGGAGGGGATCTGAGCTTCAGAGTTTGGTTGAAGGTTTTCTGTGGTGCTTGTCCCTTGGCACTGTTTTGACTCTAATCTCACAGCTAGAGCTGGAACCTGGGGGCTGGCAAACATATCCTCTGTATACCTTTAGCATATTTTCAGGTGCACCAGATGCTGGCTGCCATATTCATCAATGGGCGTTCCCATTCCAAGGTCTGAGGTACTGTCATCTGTTATGGAAACTGGCAGGGAAGGTTTTCAGCAGCTGTGCTCTAACATCAGCCTTAATTCCAAAGGAGGGTTTGTAGATGAGGAAGCCACCATAGCTACCACACCCTAGGGAGCTGCAGGTGTGCTGTGCTCCTGTCCTGAATGTCCTGATCCTGGTAAACCAAAGGTAATATAGTAGAACTAGCAGTGGTCTAGAGAGAGGGCCAAGGGTGATTAAAGGTTTGGACTGGTTTCCCTAGGAGGAAAATTGAATAAATGAGTACTTTACAGCTTGGAAAAGAGGTACTAAATGAAGGGCAATAACGCTGTTTTTCCGTAACACAAGAACATATGGAAAACATAAAAATATTGTATGGCAGGTCTAAAACACAGGCAGATTTACTACAGGGACAATCACGGGATCATTTAATTTCGCTTTTGGCATTGTTAAATGCTCATGAAAGATGAGACTCCTCGCTGCTGGAATGATGTGACTCATTGCATGCTGAGGAAAGAAAGGAGCCTGAATCTTACCTTTCTAGATCAGTCTCATACCCATTAGGATATTAAAGAAAG